AAAATGTGAACACTATTCGTCAAAGTTTTCGTCGTCAGCAACAATCTATTGATTGTGTACTTGATTATTTCAATAATAGTTATGGTCAATGTCAAATTTATTCACTTCCATTTAGTGGTACTCGACTTGATTTTATTTCAAACCGATTTCCAATTTTCGATGATAAGAATACATTTTTAAATGTGAATATATTATTACTTTTCGATGATGTAAAACCGTATGAAGATGCATTTTTTAGAGTTATTGCTCGAGCTTTACCGCACCTCAAATCACTTGAAGTAATTAATCGATTGGAACAACAAGAAAAATCAAACACAATAACAAACTTCATTAAATTTACTAATTTGGTTACACTTATTTTACCCGATATACATATAAATTATGCTGAACAACTTTTTTATCGAACTCATCTTCCACATCTTGTAGAACTACTTATCCACTATGAACCATTATTAGTGATAGTTACTGAAAATCAACAACAAGCTCGAGTGAATTGTTGAAAAATTGAATTAATTCGAATTCTGGAATCACCTGACGATATTGATTTGGAATATATTCTTAATTTTTTTCCAAATCGATTTTCTAAAACGGGGAAGAAAAACTAAGCTGAAAGACTTTATCTCTAGAAGTATTCTTCATTGTGTACATTAGAGATGCTTTGAAAAATTTGAATAGAATAAACTTATATATCGTCAATGTTATTTCAAATCATGATGTTCTAATTATAACTATGAGAGAACTAGTTTTTGAATGCATTCGTTTTTTAACTGTCGTTGACGCATATGTATCATGAACTTTAGTAGTCTGTAAAACTGACTCAATCAATTGTAATGAATGCCCTTTTAAACTCACCTACATAGAAATAAATATCGCACGAAGTGAACTTATAATTCATTTTCTTCTAACCTATTTGTCCTTCAATGAGATAAGATATAGTTCTTTATGTATGTATATTCAAAAATAAGTTTTTTCGTAAGCAGATTACACAAAAACTTTTAGTCCTTATATGGTAGTGGCATATTCATGTTGGATATGCTCTGTTTTCTATTGTTTTTATATCTCATATCTAAACAATCATAAAGATGTACTCATCTTCTTGGCTAAAAAATTAAATAGTGCAAATTTGTCGATCAATTCTTTTAAGATTTAACAGAAATACTATCAATTGATTTCAATATTTCTGCTTAAGATACATGTTAGATGTTAGTCTACTTTAAATCATCCTAATCTCTTCCATTAATAACTGACCTTTTTTAAATTATATACTATACGTCGCTTCATGAAAACATTTCTAAAGTAGTGCTTAATTTGATAATAAAAAAAATTGATTGATGCTTTTTATTAACTTTTTCTAGTTCTGCCAATACAGATTGCAAAATTAAAAAAAGAAACGATTCAGGTTCTACCCAGATTTGAACTGGGGTCGCT